GGCATGTACCCTTAAAAAAATTTAAATAAAAAAAAAAAAAGAAAAAGAAAGAACAGAGATCTTATAGACATTTTAACTTGAATTAAGTTTTAAAAAGTGCTAATTTAAAAATCAAATCGACGCGTGTAGATTAACAAAGATTTTCTACAATTAGAAAGACCGGTAATTTTAAATTTTAAATTTTAACAAGCAGTGTAACAGCTACGTGAGTGATACACACCTGATGATGGCCATTTAGGGCCGAAACATGTAGTGTGGAGGAGGAAAAGAAGTAAAAACTACAATAAAATTTGTTGCACTTAAGACGGTATTTATCCATATATATTGTGTGAGTGTAACAGGATGCTGAAATATAATATTGATTTCTACCTGTTCAGAAGACTCAAATCAGACTTGCAAGGCATGCAGTTTGTGGACGACACCATCATCCAGGCTGTTCAGGAGTGGATACCCTGTCAACCACAAGCCTTTCTTGAAAAGGGCATCAGGATGCTTCCAGAACATTGGAAAAATGTGCTGACTCCAGAGGGGAGTATGTTGAACACTGACATGTGCCAGTAGGTGTTTGGAAATTAAGGTTTTTTAAAAAAAATCAGTCCCAGTCATATTTGAACCACCTTGTACAATTACTACGGGCCTCGACTCTCAAACCAACAGCACACATCTAGCTTTTCCTACTGCAGATGCCATTTTTACAACTAGGAGGGTAAACATTCAGGTGAATAGGTCTGGAAACTCAGATGGCACAAATTATAAATCTGCTCAAATGCTTTTCAGTTCATGAGCAAACATTACAGCATAATAATATGAATTTCATTTTTAACCTCTGTACTTTAAACTGTTCAAGTACAGATAATGTAGTTTGATTTAATTAATAAGCTGGTGACTGGCTACAGGTTGGATAACTAGGGTCTGATTCACAGCAAGCTATCCCTCTAACAGGCCATGGAAGCCCAGACGGTTGTGAGATGTTGAGGGTCTCACATCATCTACACAGTCGGCTCACAGATGGCGGTAAGGTTGTCAGCCTTATGCACCGGCCACCCTTTATCACCCAGGAAGATTCCTGGTACTCATTTCTGTTAGAGGCTGAGTCGACCCCAGGGCGAGTGTGGCTGGAAGGATTAGGTCAATTGAAAAAAATCTGCTTCATTGGGACTTGAACCCATGACCTTCCAGCTTGTAGCATAGTGTGTTTCAAAGCAGAGGTAGGATTTTTCTTTCTCTTTGCTATCATATCCAGAGCAGCTTCAGAGCCAACTCAGTCTCCAAACTGACAGGTACCAGAGACCCCTTCCACTATGGTAAAATGGCTGAAACATGAAGCTGAACAGTCACCTTTTTCTGATGTTAAGATTAACAATACATGGAGCTTTACCTTGATTCCCCCCCCCCCAGTCTCCCTCTATATCTTCTAGCCACAGTTCTAAGACACAAGAACTTCACTTCATGCCCTTTTAAATTCTACGTTAAGTACTGAGTCTTGTTTGCTGTTTCATACTAGGGAACTGGTTCTAGTTTTTTTTCACACTGTGGGAGCTCATAATGTCTACTTTCTACTCACAAACTTCAAGTCCCTTGAAAGATTGCATGACACCAGTTTTGAGTTTGCTAACCCTGACAGATGCAATTGTTTCATAAATGTTATGCTTAAATTCATCCAATGTATTGTTATTGTCTGAAGACACTTCGTTTTTTAGGTTACCTCAAAGACAGAAATCATAGAGATTTAAGTCTGAAGACCTTGCAAATAACTCTGTGACTCAGTCTGTCTTGAAAGAAGAAACACCTTAATTAAAGCATTAATGAAATAAGTAGCAGTGTGTGCTACAGCACCATCTTGCATAAAATAACCACATACTCTTTCTTCTTCCATTCTTCATCTTCATCAGTAATCTGTCAAGACGACAGGTCCACAGTCTCTTCCAAAACAATTCCTCCATTTAATGCGATCGAGAGCTTTCTCCTTCAAATGACAGTATCCTCTTCTGTCCCAACGGTCATCCAGCATCTTCTTACGTCTTCTTCCTCGTCTTCTTGTCACTTCTATCCGCCCCTCTATCTTTCCTTCGATAACTTCTTTTAGAAGGCAGTTTCTGCGTAAAACATGACCAATCCAATTAGCCTTCCGTTTTCTTATTTCGTGTAGGATATTCCTCTGCTCACTGACTCTAATTAACACTTCTTCATTTCTCACATAATCGGTCCAACTGATCTTCTCCATCCTTCTCCAACACCACGTTTCGAAACTTTCCAGATGTTTCCAATCTACTGCCCTAAGTGTCCATGTTTCAGCCCCATACAGAGCTATGCTCCAAATGTAGCATTTCACTAGTTCCTTCCTCAATGGAAGAAACTTCTTCCATTATGGTCTTGAAAAAAGGAACAAAGAATATCACCCACATACTTCTCTAAATTAATAGCCCATTAACAAAATATAGGTCCTATTATTCGTGAAGCAATTACAGCACACCACACACAAATCTCATGATTGTGATGGTGTCCTTCAAATGTCTGTTCAGTACCTATTACTATACATCCACTCAGACTGAACCAAGCTTCATCAGCGGAAAATGTAAGCTTTGGGTGAAAAACACCTTCACCTACTGCCCAAATAAACTGGTTACAAAAGAGTTATTCTCTCCTAATTGCCTTCTTCAGTCACTTGAACCTGTCTAATTTTATATGGCAGTAGATAGAATTTTATTACTGCTCTTCATGCTGTTTTTGTTGAAACCTGTACCTGCAGCTACCTGTGTCAGGGGTTTACAAGTTCTCATCTGGATCCAGTTTTGTTAAGCTTTTCCTAAATTGGCACAGTACTTGGTCCAGCGTATTTCTTGTCTAAAGAAGATCAAGATGAATGCACTTTTTTTAACCAATTTGAAAATTACTGATGTACATGGCAGTCAAACACCAGGATACCTACATCTACATGATTTATACAACTTCTTTTCACATAAGTAGAAAAAACTGCTGTCCAACATGTATTTCACCATCTCAATTCAGTACTGCAAATGAGAACATGTAACAGTTCTTATAATTTTTTACACAATCAGGAACAGAGAAAGAACTGATACATATCACAGTGAGCCATCTGCAGATGCAGACAGCCATACAGCTGAGCAGAAATGGAACTGACAGAGTCTCTGCATGTTCTCACAGTCACACAAGCTGGAGTCAGCCCATTTAAAAGGGGTCTGCACGTACATAACCATATTTCACAGAATCCATCAGTCTGTAAACCTATTCATCAAGCTTTATATCTCAGAAAGTGCAAGTAATAATGGTAGCAAGTAGGTGCAAGTATAAGTTTTTCACATTAGCATGGAATATTAAAAAAAAAAAGTTCAAGTTCATTTCCCAGAAATGTTCATAGCAACCATGGTACTGTAATATGTTCTGCAGGCCAAAAAAAAAGATATATATAAGTCCAAGCACCCAGAGACATTAAATGTACATAATCATCACAAACAACAAAAATTGTTCTTCAAATTGCAGTAGACTTTTCTGCACAGGCACATTAGTAACTATTAATTTCCTTATAAATGCCACATTTCCATGATTTTTATGATAATTTATATATTTCCAGGTTGTTAATTGCCTTTTATGAGTGTTTGTTACAGCATCGATTTTCTCCACAGTTATGAACCCCCATTATGATGGACCCCAATTGTACCTTTGAGAATCAGTATACAGATTCATCACTTTTATCAAAACTAGAACTAATTTCTGAATGTAGTTGATTTTTGTCCATGACAAATTTCTGTCACTATTTATTTTTCATTATGGACATTATTCCAGTGTTCATTTTGATGTTACTTCTGCTGTGGTCATGCTACAAATTTCGTTTTTTTTAAATACGCAATCATTTTTACCTTTCCATTTCTATCAAACTTTGTTTCCCATCCTCGAGGAAGATCTCTTATTGAATCAGCAAACAAATTGACCAATGTAACAAGGTCTCGATTATGTTGATAGCGCTCAAATGCTTGTGGATCTCGGCGGATCTTGGAAACCATGTGCTTCAGGGAACCGTTACGATTATAAAGCGATAGTGCTTCCTGTAACATGAAACGAGAGAATTATCAAAAAAGTGTTGTCTAAAAATTGCAAAATTCAGGGCAACCTCATGCATATTCAGTCCCCACCATTATACAAGACGGGTAAAATGAGTCAAAACTTATAATACCGTAAATGTTTTTCAAAGAGCTATTAGATTGTGCCCATTACTGCATTTTATGTGTATAATTGTGTCGCAACAGGTTCATGAACGGTATATTCATTCTGAATGTATCTTGTTAAAATATGGATGTGTAATTTTTTGGTAACTAGAGATAAGAAAAATGTTTTATGGGGTAAATTTGGCAAATATATTATAGTTATTAGTTAAATAGTTCATTAGTGTGGTAAAGTGAGATCTAGAGAGATTGCTGAAAATGTTCTTCTTTCAGTGTTTATTGTTGTGACACCTGTAGCAAGAATTTAATTATGTACATGTGTGATAAAACACGATGATGACTTCAAACAGCTTTTGAAGGTAAGGAGTAAGTGAACGTAAAATCAATGCTAACTGAAGTCATAAAATTCATCAGCTCATATGGGAGCATTGTACGCCTGATGATGACCCAGTATAAGGGTCCAAACATGTTGCGTCTGTAAAAGCATAATAAAAGCAAATGTTGATACAGTAGGGTCTTCTTTGTTTTTTAAATACAGAATATTGTTGTGTAGACAGCATGCCTTACACTCTATTGTATATCTTATTCATAAAATGGGTTGAAGGCTGAATGAATTTTCACTGGTTTCAATATGAGACTAAGTCAAAAATTCATTAAACCCATTAACTCCAGCACTTAGCAACTATCCACACCCTTTGTACAAGTGAGCTCACATTCACAACAATTTCTTAGCCCTGGGATATTAACAGGTGCAAGAAACCTTCAACTGTCTCACATCATTCAATTTCCATGATGAAAGCTGTAAATAAAAAAAAACACTGAAAACAACATGCAAGGTATAGAAAAGTATTGACTGAAGAAGGGAACGTACAGTCTCCAAAGCCATCTACTAGGGAGGATTTTGAAGCCTTTCCATGTACAATAGCACAAATGGAGACAACTTTGTTGAATCGAATTGAATTGAATTTATTTACATTCTATAAATCCTAAGTAGGTTAGTACCTTTGGATACAGAACAAGTCAAAAGGTTACATACATAAGTACAGGCAATTTTAGCTTAAAAATTAATATAATTTACATTGAAGTATTCATCAAAAGAGTAGAAGGAATGAGCATGTAGATAATTCTTTAACTCTGATTTAAACTTTAGTATCATTGCCCAAGTTTTTAATACTTTGTGGCACATTGTTGAACACTTTCATGCCAGTAAAGTAGACTCCTTTTTGATATACTGATAAAGTTGATGAGGGTAGGTGGAAGTTATATTTTTGTCTAGTATTCATGTTATAGACATCAGAATTTAATTTGAATTTATCTTTGTTGTAAACAACAAATAAGAGAAGCGATAATATGTATTGCGATTGAAGAGGTAGAATTTTTAATTTCTTAAATAATTCTCTACATGAATCTCTACTTCTACATCCTGTAATGATTCTAATTATATTCTTTTGTATTTTAAAAATTATTACACTATGTGAAGAGTTCCCCCAAAATATTAATCCATAGTTCATAATAGAATGAAAGTAGGCATGGTAAACCATCTTCAATGTTTCCTGTGACATAAAAGGCTTAATTGATCTCATCGCATAGCAAGCTGCATTTAATTTAGGTATAATTTGTTCAATATGTATTTTCCAAGACAGTGTACTGTCTACATGTATTCCAAGGAATTTTGTATCAAGTACTTTACAGATTAATTTGTTGGCATAACTGATGTCCAGATCAATTTGGTGGTTGTTTTTAGTTGTGAATGATATGTAATGGGTTTTATCAAAATTTAATGAGAGTAAATTGGCTTCGAACCATCTGTTTAAGGCTTCAAATACAATATTTATGTCATTTTTAAAGTTTTCAAATTTAGAGTTCTTAAATATTATACTAGTGTCATCTGCATATAGAATTGGTTTAGATTTATTGTTGATGGTTTTAGATAGATCATTTATGTAGAGAAGAAAAAGTAAGGGACCTAAAATTGATCCTTGTGGAACACCGTGCTTTATAATTCCCCAGTTTGAAAATGCATTATGACTGGAGTTTTTATTATTTATTTCAACTCTTTGATACCTGTTTTTGAGGTATGATTTGATCCATTCATTAGCTTTGCCAGTTATTCCATAGAAATTTAATTTCGATAGTAAGATATCATGATTAACACAATCGAAAGCTTTTGCTAGATCACAGAAAATCCCTCCCACAATTAATCTGTCATTGAGAGCACTTAAAATATCGTTAGTTAGTTCATAGGTTGCTTTTTCTGTTGTTAGGTCTTTCCTAAATCCAAATTGCTCTTTGACTAATATGTTGTTAGAATTTAAGTGTTCAAGTAGTCTATTATACATAACTTTTTCAAAGACTTTTGAGAATGAAGTCAATATGGATATTGGTCTGTAATTAGAGATGCATTTTCTCTCTCCTTTTTTAAAAAGTGGTTTCATTATAGCGTATTTTAAGCGTTGAGGAAAAGTACCTGATGATAAAGATTTATTACATAGATGATTCAAGGGTGAACTGATGTAAACAGAGCTTGCTTTAAGTAATTTGGTAGAGATTTCATCATATCCATGTGAATTTTTGGGCTTAAGGGATTTAATAATGTTTTCAATTTCCTTCCTTGTTGAGAATTTGAGATTGATATTTGGAAATGAATTGTTAAAGGCACGAGACAGATAGTATATTGGATTATTATTATTATTATTATTATTATTATTATTATTATTATTATTATTAGTATTGTTGTTATTGGAATATGTTTTCTCAGCTAATGAAAGGAAATATTCATTAAATGCACTTGCGATAGCTTGTGGATTGTTAGTGGACTTCCCTTCAATATTCAAACTTTGTACGTCTTCATTAACAGATTTCTTTCCTGATTCAACTTTCACAATATCCCAGGTGGTTTTAATTTTATTGTTTGATTTTAGAATTTGGCTGTTATAGTTATTCTGTTTGGCTTCTTTAATGACTTTTGACAAAATTTTACAGTACATTTTGTAGTGACTTTTTAGTCTTGGATCATTACTGTCCCTACTGGCCAAATATAGTTGTCTTTTGTGTTTACATGAAGTTTTTATTCCAATTGTTATCCAGGTGGATTTGTTTTTATTTTCATTTTTGACTATTTTTAAGGGAAAGCTTGAATAAAAGATCCTCAAGTATGTGTTCAGAAAGCAATTAAATTTAGAATCAATATTATTGCTGTCAAATACATTGTCCCATGATTCATTACTTAATTTTGTGACAAAATCTGCCATCGTATGCTTGTTGATTTTCCTTACTGTTTGATATTGTTGATTACTGGGCTGAAGGTCAATATTATTTATTTCTATGAGTTGAGCATCATGATCGGATAAGCCATTTATAAAGGGTCCTACAGTATAGTCTCTTAATTTTGAGTTATCAATGAATATATTATCTATCGCTGAACTAGAATTATTTTGAACTCTTGTGGGAAAGTTAACAGTACTGGAGAGATTGTAAGATGATAACAAAGAGTCTAAATTTAGTTTCCTATTACTGTCGATGAGATAGTTTATATTTATATCACCACAAATTATAAATTCAACTTTTGAACTATGCAGTACATTTAGGATGGTTTCTAATCTATTTATAAAGTGATCGAAGTTTCCAGATGGGGCTCTGTATAAAGTCAGTATACAAATATTAGAAAAAGGAGAGTCTAACTTTAGAGCACATGCTTCCAGATCCTGGTCTTTGTAATAATCTTCTAAATTTATTTTAGTAAAATTTAGGTTTTCATGTACAAAAATACTCACTCCTCCTTTCTCCAGTGTTTTCCTACAGTATCTAGCACTTAAATTATAATTTTCTAAGTGAAGATGTTCTAATTCCAGCTATTTCATGTGATGTTCAGTAAGGCACAGTATGTGTGGAAGATTTTAATTCATGGAGCTTATTAGTTCATTTGTTTTGTTTTTGTGCAGCATATGATCACCATTTCTGCCCAAGAATGGGCCACGGTGTCTGTGGACAGCTGTCTCAGGTGATGTTTCCATTGCATAAGGTGTTTAGCTAATAAACCTGTAGAAATTGTGACTAAAGGGTTCTAGTATTTTGATCAATAATGCTTTGTGTAAGAAGGTAAACAAATCTATCCCTGTAAAAGACTGTGGAGGCCCATAGGGTTGTGAGACATTGAGGCTCCCACATTTCCTAGACAATTGGCTCACAGATGGCCTAAAGCACCAGCTGCCCTTTAACTGCAGGAAGAATCCTGGTACTCATTTCTGTTATGAGGCTGATTTGGCACCAGGGCGATAGTGCTGCTGGAAGGATTTGGTCAACTGAAAAATCCAATGACCACATGGGGAATCAAACCCACAACCTTCCTGCTTATAGCACAGTGCCTCAACCAACAACAACACTACCACTTCATGTACTAAATATGTTACATTAAGTAAGTGTTACTTAAACTATTAGGCAAATGTTAAAATGAAATCCTGATATATTGTGGATTTGGTACAATGCAGATATGATCATGGTCCCAAAAATTGGTTATGTTCTCATTTTACAGCAATTACACTTGAATATGCATAACAGTATTTTGAAGGCTACACTGGACATTTCAGAGACATATACTGCCTCCATTTTCCACCTGCGTCCTACTGGATACTTTATTACTGCAAATCTGAGAAAAAAAATGCAATTGCAGCTTTCCACAGGGTGAGATACAACACTCCACCTGCAGGAGAACCTCATGAACCTGATTAACCCATGTGCTCTCAGAATAACCCTCAGCTCTGCATTGCTTACTTATTCTGATACTGATACTGACTTCATATGACTAAGAAACAAAGAAGATGGTATTAAAATATGAAATAGTCATTATTTTGAAATGCATGTATGAAATCAACAAAATTAACTGCAAAATAGATCATGCTAACAAATTCTGGTGGAGACAACATAATCTCAAATCAGGATAATATTTCAGAAAAACTTATTCTAAAATTGCAAAAGATTCATTAATTCACTGATTTTATAGAGAATATAAATACCTGGTTCATGTGCAGAATTGAGAAGAAGTCAGGTCTGGAGATAAACCTCACAGCAGGCATGTGGTGCACAATATCTGGATGCTGCTGTGACCTCTGCTGCTCTCCGCCACTGCTACCATTTGTTGACACAGCCTGAGAGTGACCCTGAACACAATCGCCACTTCCAGAAATAACATCCTCACAGTCAAGTCGTCTGGATGTGATGGTTCGACGGATACTCTGATACCTGAAAATTTCATCTATATAAATAAAAATGTAAATGTTCATTTGTTAGCCCTTGAAAATCTCCGAAAGTTCTTCACCAATTGCTTCGAAATTTTGACACAACGTTGCATTCAAATGTGCGCATTTTTATATACCTACTAGCTGTACCTGGCCACGCGTGAATCCGGAAAGTATACCTCCATGGAAACGCAATAACAGTGGGCCGTTGCATAGGGATTGCCAAAACAAGAAACGCATTTCCCCGGAGATGAGAGGATAAGAGGTTCCGTTGCGTAACAACGGGTGAAACCGGAAAGTATACTTCCATGGAAACGCAATAACAGTGGGCCGTTGCATAGGGATTGCCAAAACAAGAAACGCATTTCCCCGGAGATGAGAGGATAAGAGGTTCCGTTGCGTAACAACAGATGAAACCAAACACTTCTACCAGGTGTTTTGTGCTAGCATTTCCTAAGCAACAGATGAAACTAACTCTTCGATAAGGTATTCCCTATCCCGTCCGAATGCTGGCTATATGTATAACAGAGTGTAGGTCCGGCGACTGTTCAGTATCACGAGTGTCTCGAGTATCACGAGGTCACAAGTATCATAAGAGATTCCAAGTGAAATCACAGCAGAGATCCTGAGTTTGCACTCAGAGTTTTGGATTTGACTCTGGCAGCGTTTCCCTGGTGATAGACAACAGAAGGCTCATTGTATAGCATCCGCCGAGGTATAAATAGTCCAGCTTGGACAAGAAGCAGTCAGTCTCGGGGCAGATGACGAGGGATACAGAAGAGAGTCTGGAAGTAACCGCCAAAAGAGTCAGTCTTGGGATAGCTACTGCCGAATATAAACAGTTTATTTTCATTTTGATTTAATTATTTTGTGTGACATTGCATTGGAATTGGCCTGTGTCGTTTACCATAGCATTCATCTCGTGAGTATAGTTTATTTTTCATTGTTTTTCATTTCGTTTTCTTAACCAGAAACCAGATGATGTACGGTTTTCGAAGATGAAGAAGACTACAAAAGACAACCGTACTAGTAATAATGTGGATAAGGTAAAACATAAAATTAGAATAGTAGGAGACAGCCATGCAAGAGGTTTGGCTAATGAGTTAAAGTATAACCTTACTCTTGAATTTAACTCTCAGGGAGTAGTGAAACCTGGATCTTCATTAGAACAATTAGTAAATATTTCTGATACGGACATGAAGAATTTAACAATGAGTGATGTATGTGTTGTGTGGGGAGGTTCAATGGACGTTGGCCGAAATGAGACAAAATTGGGAATTCGTGCGTTAAAAGAGTTTGTTAGCTCTCTTAATCATACAAACGTTGTGGTGATAAATGTTCCTTATAGACATGATCTCGCTCCAAATTCCTGTGTAAATTGTGAAGTTCAACTGTTTAATAGAAGACTTGGAAAACTAAAAAGGGCATATTCTAATCTTTCAGTGGTAACAGTAGACTCTACGCGTGATTTATTCACAAGACAGGGTTATCATCTAAATTCTCAAGGGAAAGAACATACTGCTAGAAGAGTAGCTACAGTGATAAAGGATTTGTTTAGTGCTAACGATTCAGAACCAATTGTCTTAAAGTGGAGTTATCTGGATGAAATGCAGAGTCATTTAGATGATAAGCAGACGTCTGGCGTTGAGGTTGTTGAAGGGAATGGTTGTGGAAGGAACACCATGGAACAGTTAGTGGGTGATGGGGCCATAGAGTCTAATGTAGCAAATCATGCTACGATTTTACTGATGTCTCAGGAGAATACCTGTCTGAATCAAGTGGGAGTCCATGATAATCCAAGCAGTGATCAGATTGATCACAAAAACAATGAAAATGATTCTCAAATAAATAACTCAATACCTTCGAAGAGAACGCGTCGTCAACCCTCCAAAAAAGTTAGTACGGATTTTTTAAGGTAACTTCAATACACCAGTCTAGTCTACCATCTTGTTGTAACAAAATCTCAAATTATCAGGAACTGGGTATTTGCCACCAAAATGTTCAAAGTTTGAGTAACAATTTATTTGTATTTCAAGTATTATTGGATTCTTGGTCAAATAAGCCTGCAATGTTATGTTTCTCTGAGCATTGGCTCCAATATGAGCAACTTATGTATATTAATACTGTTCATACAGTATAACACACGCAGTCACAGGAGCAAGACACAACAAAAGCACAACACACACACGATAGTGAAGGAGTGCTCCAACAGAGAAGAATGGGCGTGACTGGCGTAGTGAGGTGCGACGTAGCGATGTGGAATCCTGAACAATTTTAATATTTTTAACGTTCGACATTTGTCAATGTATATGATAGATATATATTTTAGTTATTTTAATGTGAGGACAAGGCATGCAATGAACTAGTTTGACGTCGATGAGTAAGCACCTGAAGATGGCATTATTATGCCGAAACATGTAGTGCGAGTGAGAGGAGATAGATGAGTGTATGCACTGCAAGACGGTTTAAATAAATCATGGACTTAAATCAGTGCAACAGGACGCTAAAATATAACATTAGTAATTCTGTTAGTTTACAGGTATTAAGAAATGTATATTTTACTAAATTTGAATCCATATTTAAGTATGGTATTATGTTTTGGGGTGGTGGAGGTAAAGAGATTGATACAGTTTTTAAAGTACAAAAAAAAATGCATAAGAGCCATTATGGGCGTTGATAATCGGGCATCCTGCAGAAGGCTGTTTGGTGAGTTAGAAATTTTAACTGTTACTTCTTTGTATATACTGGAGATTTTATGTTTTATTATAAAAAATAGAATCTATACAACTTTGAACTCTGATGTGCATAATTACAATACAAAGCATAAACATAATCTGTATACCCAACATTGTAATACAAATAGTTGTAAGAGAAGTGTGATAAACATGGGCATAAAACTATACAATAATCTTCCTTTGGAGTTAAAGAATGTATCTGATTTTAAAGTGTTTAGGAGGAAATTGAAGTGTTATTTGTTGCATAGTGCCTTCTACTCTCTTCAGGAGTTTTTTTATATGTAAGATGTTGAAAAAAGACTGTAAGTGTTTGTTAATGCATGTGCTGGTGGTTTTTTTATATAACTTATTTAAGTATTTATGTATTCTTTGATTATGTTAGGTGTGATTGTTATTAAATCTATATATTCTCTTTGACTTTATCCGATTGTATATTTTACAGTTATGGATGTAAATAAAATTATGAATTATGAATTATGAATTATAACTGTTTTCCTTATTTTTCAGTGCAATTGGTGGTGGGATTGAGCTGTGTCGATTGATCTGCATTTGAATTGAAATATTTCGTTAGACTGAGTCACAGAAACGCGTGGCCGGGTACAGCTAGTATTCATCTAAAAAACATTTGTCCAAAAACTGCTGATCAACCAACAGAACAGACTGCAGAGGTTGCAAACTCCACAAAGAGTCAACATGAACAAGGGGGCAGCAAATCTTTACTACTTTCCTTGATTACTCAGACCATGCATGGTTGTGGACTTCAGAAGAGGCACCTGATGAAGGTTTTGTGGAAACCAAAACATGTAGTTCTAAATAAATATAGCTGTAATTGTACACTGTGAAAGCACTACAGATAATCGTTTTATTTTTAAATTTTTTCATAATCCTAGGATATGCAGAGCTTTCTGAAAACTAGTTTTATAATTTTCTAAGGATCAGTTTTAGCCTCAAGAATAAGATATAGAGTGAACCAGTAGATGTGCGACTTTGCTAGTATAAGTCAACCATGTGCTGGTCTGTACAAGAACTGAAAGAGGCACAGACTAGCATAATATACCACCCTTACAATACAACAATGATAAGTGATCCAAGATACAAACAACGAAGCCCAGGTTTGATCCCAGGGTAACTGTGACGTATTTATGTCACATGTTACAGGTGGTAATGATGCCATCCTTAGTGAGGTTGGCCGAACAACAGCTGAGTCAGTAGTACTGACATACCACTGCAGGGGGCTAGTACCTCTAGCACACCTGCAGTAGAAGACGGATTGGGTAGACCCCATCTAGTGAAAAAAGCCTTGTCTGGCTGAGCCAGACAGAAGTTGAAAAAAGTAAGAGCTGGGGCAAGCATAGCAGGAACTGGGATCAGTCAGCAACCAGGAAATGTAGGCTCGTCCAAGCAGGGAGAAACCCCCATCAGTACCTTTTAAGAGACCAAGGTCCTACAGACCCCTACAGAAACGGCCATAACTCCAAAAAGACCCAGGCACTATAAGGGACCAGGGACTTACAACGGGGCTCTGACCAACATAAAGGTAGCTATCTTTAAGGAAATGTATCCTGAGGACAAGCTTACTGAAGATGACCAGAATTCCATTCTGGAAGCACTGGGAGAGGTGTTACGTAGGACTCCAAAGGGAGAACTACCACACCTGAAATCCTATAGACTAGTGAGAGGTGGACCAACAGTCTGGTCAATGGCTCAACAAAAGCCACTGAAAACCACAGGCTGGAATCAGGGGCCAGGCTGAAGGCGACTGATGCCAGAAACCGGCCTAAGCCTGTTAAAGTGGCTCTCCCTACTAGGGACAAAGTTGCCACAATCAGGAAGAGCTACTGAAATGGATTTCAGACCTCAATCCAGGACTTCACACTGAGAACTGGAAGGCATTCGATAAGCAATTTGAGTCGAAAAGCCAGAGGCTTATCTAATTCATAGACCGGGACTCTTATACCATTATACAGAGGACCGGTTACAAAATATTCACAGGACTCTCAGAGGGGACTGTTAAGATGCTGAATGATCCTGAAGTTCAGCACCCGGCAGAACGTGTCAGATACAGTATCTTCCAACTTGGCCTCTAACGGGGAGAGGGATGATGTACCCACTCCCTCAGTTGACCAGAGGAGACAATCCCTCCTCTTGTCAACCCGACCTTACCAGATCAGGGAACTCTCTCGGAGGAAACCAGGTCTGATAAAGTAAAAGGGGCTGTGGAAGAAGGTATTTATGAGGACACCTTTCCCAGCATTAAAGAATGAACACA